TTCTTTTTGTTTTTTTACCTTCAGAAAAAGATTCTCTACCATTTCATAAAAAAAAAAGTAAAATTTTTTTTTTTAAATTCTTGGACCCTGTGGACATGTTTCAGATCGGGGGTCTGGACCCTCAAAGGGTTAATAATAAAAATTTGTGCTATTTTACACATAAAATGGTAAAATCTGCACTTAGACATTTGAATTTCACTCTTTGCTGTTGTCATATTTTATGGCACCTTTCCTGAGCAGTTGAAGCTATGAAAGTGAGGGTTGGAAATGGGTTCAACAACTCTGGTCATAGTGCATGCAAACATACCAATTGTTCCTTGAATTTGGTCCTGGTTACAGTGAACAAGTGCTGATAATTTGAAGCTGACTGGATGTGGCTTTTCTCAGGTTATGAGTGAAATAAAGTTGGAGGAAGAAAAAGAAAAAAAATTCGATCAACCTCATGAAGGCGCCTAATTAACTAAAAAAATTTTTTTCAACAAACCAGCCATATCCCACCAAGGCAGGGTGACCTAAAAAGAAAAACAAAAGTTTCTCTTTTTAAATTTAGTAATGTATACAAGAGAAGGGGTTATTAGCCCCTTGCCCCTGGCATTTTAGTCTCCTCTTAAGACTCGCATGGCCTACGGACGAAGAATTCTGTTCCACTTCCCAATGGAGAACTAAAAATATATAATGGCATGGTTGCTATAAGAAACTACAATAAAACCTGTGTATATGGATGCTTTTATTACAGAAAGGCCTCAAAACAATAATGTTTTTTTTAACACAATGGAAGTCTCCCAGAATCGTAGGGTCACCCAAAAAATAAGTTTTTTTTTTTTTTTTTTTTCAACAAGTCGGCCGTCTCCCACCGAGGCAGGGTGACCCAAAAAAGAAAGAAAATCCCCAAAAAGAAAATACTTTCATCATCATTCAACACTTTCACCACACTCGCACATTATCACTGTTTTTGCAGAGGTGCTCAGAATACAACAGTCTAGAAGCATACACATATAAAGATACACAACATATCCCTCCAAACTGCCAATATCCCAAACCCCTCCTTTAAAGTGCAGGCATTGTACTTCCCATTTCCAGGACTCAAGTCCGACTATATGAAAATAACCGGTTTCCCTGAATCCCTTCACTAAATATTACCCTGCTCACACTCCAACAGATCGTCAGGTCCCAAGTACCATTCGTCTCCATTCACTCCTATCTAACACGCTCACGCACGCTTGCTGGAAATCCAAGCCCCTTACCCACAAAACCTCCTTTACCCCTCTCTCCAACCCTTTCGAGGACGACCCCTACCCCGCCTTCCTTCCCCTATAGATTTATATGCTTTCCATGTCATTCTACTGTGATCCATTCTCTCTAAATGACCAAACCACCTCAACAACCCCTCTTCTGCCCTCTGACTAATACTTTTATTAACTCCACACCTTCTCCTAATTTCCACACTCCGAATTTTTTGCATAATATTTACACCACACATTGCCCTTAGACAGGACATCTCCGCTGCCTCCAACCGTCTCCTTGCTGCTGCATTTACCACCCAAGCTTCACACCCATATAAGAGTGTTGGTACTACTATACTTTCATACATTCCCTTCTTTGCCTCCATAGATAACGTTTTTTGACTCCACATATACCTCAACGCACCACTCACCTTTTTTCCCTCATCAATTCTATGATTAACCTCATCCTTCATAAATCCATCCGCCGACACGTCAACTCCCAAGTATCTGAAAACATTCACTTCTTCCATACTCCTCCTCCCCAATTTGATATCCAATTTTTCTTTATCTAAATCATTTGACACCCTCATCACCTTACTCTTTTCTATGTTCACTTTCAACTTTCTACCTTTACACACATTCCCAAACTCATCCACTAACCTTTGCAATTTTTCTTTAGAATCTCCCATAAGCACAGTATCATCAGCAAAAAGTAACTGTGTCAATTCCCATTTTGAATTTGATTCCCCATAATTTAATCCCACCCCTCTCCCAAAACACCCTAGCATTTACTTCCTTTACAACCCCATCTATAAATATATTAAACAACCATGGTGACATTACACATCCCTGTCTAAGACCTACTTTTACCGGGAAGTAGTCTCCCTCTCTTCTACACACCCTAACCTGAGCCTCACTATCCTCATAAAAACTCTTTACAGCATTTAATAACTTACCACCTATTCCATATACTTGCAACATCTGCCACATTGCTCCTCTATCCACTCTTTCATATGCCTTTTCTAAATCCATAAATGCAATAAAAACCTCCCTATCTTTATCTAAATACTGTTCACATATATGCTTCAATGTAAACACCTGATCTACACATCCCCTACCCACTCTAAAACCTCCTTGCTCATCCGCAATCCTACATTCTGTCTTACCTCTAATTCTTTCAATTATAACCCTACCGTACACTTTTCCTGGTATACTCAGTAAGCTTATTCCTCTGTAATTTTTACAGTCTCTTTTGTCCCCTTTCCCTTTATATAAAGGGACTATACATGCTCTCTGCCAATCCCTAGGTACCTTCCCCTCTTTCATACATTTATTAAACAAAAGTACCAACCACTCCAACACTATATCCCCCCCTGCTTTTTAACATTTCTGTCATGATCCCATCAGTTCCAGCTGCTTTTACCCCCTTTCATTTTACGTAATGCCTCACGTACCTCCCCCACACTTACATTCTGCTCTTCTTCACTCCTAAAAGATGGTATACCTCCCTGACCAGTGCATGAAATTACTGCCTCTGTTTCTTCCTTAACATTTAAAAGTTCCTCAAAATATTCTCGCCATCTACCCAATACCTCCATCTCCCCATCTACTAACTCCCCTACTCTGTTTTTAACTGACAAATCCATATTTTCCCTAGGCTTTCTTAACTTGTTTAACTCGCTCCAAAATTTTTTCTTATTTTCATTAAAATTTCTTGACAGTGCCTCTCCCACTCTATCATCTGCTCTCCTTTTGCACTCTCTCACCACTCTCTTTACCTTTCTTTACTCTCCATATACTCTGCTCTTCTTATAACACTTCTGCTTTGTAAAAACCTCTCATAAGCTACCTTTTTCTCTTTTATCACACCCTTTACTTCATCATTCCACCAATCACTCCTCTTTCCTCCTGCCCCCACCCTCCTATAACCACAAACTTCTGCCCCACATTCTAATACTGCATTTTTAAAACTATTCCAACCCTCTTCAACCCCCCCACTACTCATCTTTGCACTAGCCCACCTTTCTGCCAATAGTCGCTTATATCTCACCCGAACTTCCTCCTCCCTTAGTTTATACACTTTCACCTCCCTCTTACTTGTTGTTGCCACCTTCCTCTTTTCCCATCTACCTCTTACTCTAACTGTAGCTACAACTAAATAATGATCCGATATATCAGTTGCCCCTCTATAAACATGTACATCCTGGAGCCTACCCATCAACCTTTTATCCACCAATACATAATCTAATAAACTACTTTCATTACGTGCTACATCATACCTTGTATATTTATTTATCCTCTTTTTCATAAAATATGTATTACTTATTACCAAATTTCTTTCTACACATAGCTCAATTAAAGGCTCCCCATTTACATTTACCCTGGCACCCAAATTTACCTACTACTCCCTCCATAACATTTTTACCCACTTTAGCATTAAAATCCCCAACCACCATTACTCTCACACTTGATTCAAAACTCCCCACGCATTCACTCAACATTTCCCAAAATCTCTCTCTCTCCTCTACACTTCTCTCTTCTCCAGGTGCATACACGCTTATTATAACCCACTTTTCACATCCAATCTTTATTTTGCTCCACATAATCCTTGAATTAATACATTTATAGTCCCTCTTTTCCTGCCATAGCTTATCCTTCAACATTATTGCTACTCCTTCTTTAGCTCTAACTCTATTTGAAACCCCTGACCTAATCCCATTTATTCCTCTCCACTGAAACTCTCCCACCCCCTTCAGCTTTGTTTCACTTAAAGCCAGGACATCCAGCTTTTTCTCATTCATAACATCCACAATCATCTCTTTCTTATCATCTGCACAACATCCACGCACATTCAGACTTCCCACTTTGACAATTTTCTTCTTCTTATTCTTTTTAGTAATCTTTACAGGAAAAGGGGTTACTAGCCCATTGTTCCCGGCATTTTAGTTGACTTTTACAACACGCATGGCTTACGGAGGAAAGATTCTTATTCCACTTCCCCATGGATATAAAAGGAAAATTAATAAGACCAAGAACTATTAAGATAAAATCAAAGAAAACTCAGATGAGTGTGTATAAATAAATGTGTACATGTATGTGTAGTGTGACCTAAGTGTAAGTAGAAGTAGCAAGACATGCCTGTAATCTTGCATATTTATGAGACAGACAAAAGACATCAGCAATCCTACCATCATGTAAAACAATCACAGGCTTCGTTTTACACTCACTTGGTAGGACGGTAGTACCTCCCTGGGTGGTTGCTGTCTACCAACCTACTACCTATAAAAAATAAAAAATAAGTATGCACATAAAATGGCCTAGGTTATAACTCAACCTACAGATCAGACTGAACTAAGATTGATGGTCATAACTTCACAGCACAGGAGAACCTTGAATGCCAAATTTCATGAGATTTGGAGATGGTAAGTGTTAGGTCCTGGTTGTCATTTCATGGAACTCCCCATTTGTAAAGCTTTTATTATGCTATTAAGTGTTATGCCTCAACTATGCTTAACCAGAGAATTGCATTCCAATAATATCATACAAGTAACAACTGATAACTTTGTTTATCTACTATGTTCTTTGCTTTTTATAAATTATGATAAAACCAAAATGTTACTTTAAGTCAATCCTATCTTGTATCTACAGTATTTGATATGTTTTGAGGAACTAATCTTAGCTTTCCCAGCCAAGTCCTAGAAAAAGATGAGTAAAGTATTTTTGATACTATTCTAAGCAAAAAAAAAAAATAGAATAAAAAAACTATTTTAAACTTACCTATCAAGTATAAGTATTTTAAGATTCAACTCTTTCCCAAATCTGCTATGGGTGTCACATGAATTCCAGCATGAAAAGACAAGGGAAAATTCAACATTTCCTTCATTGTCCAAATGGTCCTGAGAAACGGTAATTACAGCAACAGGTTGTCCTTTTTTATCAATTTCAAATTTATGACATTTGCTTATGACGCAGAAACACTGGTTATACTCGTGGTCTTTGCACCAGGAACACTCATCATGCTTCTTACATCTAGTAACGGGTTTATCTCCATAGATGTGGCCTTGGTACGACATTGAAATATACACTCTCATTCCAGGTCTCGCTCTCACTATCTTGCAATGCACTGGCTTACTTCGTTTTGTAGCCAGTATGTTGTTTCTTACCTGAGGCAAGATATTTGCATTAGTACGTGCATTTAGCTGTAAAAAATATGAACTAATTAATACACTTATAATTTGTGGCATGACAATACAAGTTTCCTTTCAGTCTGAAAGGAAAACTCAACCTTACTAAACGTATTAAATCATCATAAAATTCCCATGCATAATCTACATTAAGGAAAGATTATGTTTTTTATGTAAAATTTGCATATGTAAGCATCATAATATGAACTTCCATTTCTTCCTTAGAAAACTTAGAAACTACCTTCTAATGTGATAGTCTGGGCAGGAAAGCCTCCACACTTATCTATCTAGATAATCATTTAGAACCACCATATCCCAGTAGTTATAGCTCTCATCACTGAGGTCTGAAAATCAAATCCCCGGCCAAAGCCAAAAAGAAGAAATCATCTTGTTTTATTCCTTTCATGCTTTCAGAAGATATTATCCTGTGTATCTCTGACTTCCAATTATCATAAGCTGGCTGTCTAATTATTATTTAATTCCTTCTTGTATATTTTTTTCCTGCAAGACTATCATCCATCATTCTCTACAAGTCGAAATATTCCCCTAACCCATTTTACTACTGATTTTTGTTATCCTACATCTTCCACATACTTTCCAATAATGTCTTCACTGCTTATGAATATTACATGCATTTATTATAGTTATAGTATTAACTCCACAAGCATAAAGCTGTAACTTTTGCATCATCTCCACATCTAGGTTTCATTCAAGCAGGTCATGAGTGGCAGACATGTTGTTCCCTAACATCTAATTAGATTTCTTCCTCTAATAATCCTTCCTATTCTACTCTGTTCAACATACTCACAATTTTATTCTCTTACAGGCAAAGCAAATATTTACCTCTTCACTTCCAGCATATTCAGTTACCAACACTTACCTACTAACATTTTACCTTGATCAAACACAATGCAGAGCCCATTCAGTATTTGTTGCCACAATTTTTTCCCCTACCATGATTAATACGAAACATTAACAGAAACACTGGTCATCTTGTATCACATCTTTCCATCTAAAACTATATTAACTACAGTACTGTAATATCCATCATAATTTTCATCTTTCCGATAGCTCCATAAATTACCTCAGGATGGTCCAACCATCATCTTGTGAGATCATCAAAAATAAGGACAGTACAGTCAGTGTCTTCAATGAATAGTGTACACATAAGAAGTGTTGCAAATTATGCAGCATATTTTTCCCTCACATACCTGTTGATAATTTCAAGAATCATTACCCTGTGATCTAGGCCTCCAGGGTGATGACCTGGTCAGTCAAGTTGGTGTATCCTGCAACACTACCTTGCCTGATCAGGAAGAGTTCGGAGCAATTTGCCCAGCTTCCTTCATATTTGAAGGGAGGGTATTGAAAAGCCTTTGACTTTTAATGCATATTAAGTCATATCTTTAAGAGTACTTACTACACCCTGGCTTTTCAATGGGGCTATTTTACACCATCTAATATCTCCTGTTCTCCAAAGGGATTAGTTCAGTGCAGGGGCAGCTGCAGAAGTTTTATAAGAAGGGCTTAGGGGTAGCAATCTGGGGAGGCTAGGTGACTTCTCCTAAAGCAGCATTTTTATTTGAGAGCTGATTACATTTAGGGGGCTTCAGTCTTCCCCCATGGTACCCTCCAAGTTCAGTGTGCAGTTCTCAACTTCTTTCCTGGAGTAAATTATTATAATTACAGTGGTACCTTGACTTACGAGTGCCCATATCTTACGAGTTTTCAGAGTTACGAGCTCAGTCGATTTTTTGCTTTGAGTCGCGAGCCAAAACCAGAGTTACAAGTGAGCTTCAGATATGCTGCCACTCGCAGGAGAGAGGAAATATCAAAAACCTCGATAATAACCAATATGTAAAATCCTTTCAATTTTGATACCACTGGTCATCCTGCAAGAATGTTTTATAACATATGCCCTAAGTAAAGAGAAACATTTCTGGAACGTGTAATACTTGTTCGCAAGCCGGCTGGTTGGGTGGCCAGCTGGTTGGGTGGCCAGCTGGCTGGCTGGCTGGCAGCTGGCTGATTTGCTCTGGCTTTCTCTATCTCCTTCTGTCTCTGTCTCTGTCTCTGTCTCTATCTCTGTCTCTGTCTCTATCTCTGTCTCTGTCTATCTCTGTCTATCTCTGTCTCTGTCTATCTCTGTCTCTGTCTATCTCTGTCTCTGTCTATCTCTGTCTCTGTCTATCTCTGTCTCTGTCTATCTCTGTCTCTGTCTATCTCTGTCTCTGTCTATCTCTGTCTCTGTCTATCTCTGTCTATCTCTGTCTCTGTCTATCTCTGTCTCTGTCTATCTCTGTCTCTGTCTATCTCTGTCTCTGTCTATCTCTGTCTCTGTCTATCTCTGTCTCTGTCTATCTCTGTCTCTGTCTCTATCTCTGTCTCTGTCTCTATCTCTGTCTCTGTCTCTATCTCTGTCTCTGTCTCTATCTCTATCTCTGTCTTCTGTCTCGTCTATCTCTGTCTCTGTTATCTCTGTCTCTGTCTATCTCTGTCTCTGTCTATCTCTGTCTCTGTCTATCTCTGTCTCTGTCTATCTCTGTCTCTGTCTATCTCTGTCTCTGTCTATCTCTGTCTCTGTCTATCTCTGTCTCTGTCTATCTCTGTCTCTGCCTATCTCTATCTCTGTATCTCTATCTCTGTCTATCTCTGTCTTGACTCATGAAATCGTAATGACACGATTGCAAATGCGATGGTCTGGAGTTTTGAGACTCTGACCGCGGGTTCAAATCCACTGGTCATCCTGCAAGAATGTTTTATAACATATGCCCTAAGTAAAGAGAAACATTTCTGGAACGTGTAATACTTGTTCGCAAGCCGGCTGGTTGGGTGGCAAGCCGGCTGGTTGGGTGGCCAGCTGGCTGGCTGGCTGGCAGCTGGCTGATTTGCTCTGGCTTTCTCTATCTCCTTCTGTCTCTATCTCTGTCTCTATCTTTGTCTCTATCTCTGTCTCTATCTCTGTCTCTATCTCTGTCTCTATCTCTGTCTCTGTCTATCTCTGTCTCTATCTATCTCTGTCTATCTCTGTCTATCTCTGTCTATCTCTATCTCTGTCTATCTCTATCTCTGTCTCTGTCTATCTCTGTCTCTGTCTATCTCTGTCTCTGTCTATCTCTGTCTCTGTCTATCTCTGTCTCTGTCTATCTCTGTCTCTGTCTATCTCTGTCTCTGTCTATCTCTGTCTCTGTCTATCTCTGTCTCTGTCTATCTCTGTCTCTGTCTATCTCTGTCTCTGTCTATCTCTGTCTCTGTCTATCTCTGTCTCTGTCTATCTCTGTCTCTGTCTATCTCTGTCTCTGTCTATCTCTGTCTCTGCTATCTCTGTCGTCTATCTGTCTCTGTCTATCTCTGTCTCTGTCTATCTCTGTCCTGTCTATCTCTGTCTGATCTATGCTCTGTCTCTGCATCATCGTCTCTGTTATTTGTCATCTGTCTATCCTGTCTCTAATCCGCCTGTTTATGCTGTTTACTCTGTCTCTGTCTATCTCTGTCTCTGTCTTGACCATGAATCGTATACGATTGCAAATACGGTGTTTTGAGACTCTCTGACGGGGTAAATCGTGAGTTTGTACCTGGTAACCGCAATCCAGACAAAGATACAAAATACAGTTTTCATATGAATTACCTAGGATAAAAACCAGACAAAGTGCAGATCATAGATATAAGACAAGTAAATATGCAATAATTATCACTTGTTTAGGAAACAGATGTGACTGACTCTGCATCGTGTGTAATACTGGTTGGTTCATGAGCGGCTCTCTCTCTGAGAGAGAGAGACAAGTAGAGAGACAGGAAGACAGAAACACAGGCAGACAGAAAGACAGATAAGCAGAGACAGAGATGAACACAGACAGAGCTAGACAGACAGACAAAAAGACAGATAGAAACAAACAGATAGTCATAGTTTATTTGTAACAGTAAAAAATAAAGCTAAGGCAGTGCATGATCATCAAATGTCACTCCACTGGCAGTAGAGTGACACTCATCTTACACCCTGCTTCAAGGAGTTTCATATATGTACATGTATACTCCAGCATTTCTAAAACATTGCTGGGACCTGGCAAAAATCATTTCTTATTTATAAATCCATTTTTCTTATTAAAAAACCTGTAACAAAAAAATTGGGGTGGTTGTTTGGGGGCTGGAATGAATTAATCGTATTGCAATTAATTTCAATGAAGAAAATTGATTTGATATACAGTGGTACCTCGGGACACGAACAGCCCAAAACTCAAACAATTATATAAGTGTATTTATGTAAGTGTATTTTTTGGGGTCTGAAACAGATTAATCTAATTTAAATTATTCCTTATGGGAACAAATTCGTTCGGTATCGGCACTCGAACAGCTTTCTGGAACGAAATAAATTCGTACCCCGAGATTCCACTGTATGAGCAAATTGAGTAATGAGCTTGGTCACGGAACGAATTGAACTCGTAAGTCAAGGTACCACTGTACTTTGCACCTATGCCACAAGGGGGTAGAGCCTGGGCATTGAAGCAGTTCAGTAATTCAGCCACAGTATTTGAACCGATGCTGGCAGTAAAAGTTCTGTGCACATTTTCCAGATGTACAATTTTGCTTGCTGCACATGGGGTTGTGAGTGTGCAGCCAAATTCCAGCTTTGGAAAGGACAAGTGCCTTAAACAGTGTTAACATTGGCCTGGTATTACTTGTGCTTTTAAAAGCCACTGATCAGGTAAAAATATTTCCTAAAGCTGGAAAAAAAAGTGACAAGCATTCTAATAATCATGAAGGTGGGCACTCCACCTAAGACCAGGTGATGCAAGATGCCCTTGCCTAACATGAGTTAGTAAATGGTGCACCACCAGTTGGGCAAATATACACAGTTGAGAAAGAGAAGGTGTATGGTGTACTGACCACTGATGAGCACGGTGGGGGGAAAAAAAATGAGGAAAAGCATCCCTTTCCCACCCACCCACCCACACACACACACACACACACTCACCCGCCCACACAAGGAAAACTTTTTTACTGATTAGAGCAGAGAAAGGTTGTGCAGAAGTCCCCCCTGCATTGTTTTTCTTGTTTTTGAAAGCTCTTACTATCCAGCCTGAGAGATTATAGACTTCTAGACTTCTCTCCAATGGAAACCATAATTCCAGATGAGTGTGTGCTGAATCAATTGATGAAAGGTAAAGTAACATTAGAAATTTAATTTTGTTCAAGTACAGTGGACCCCCGGTTAACGATATTTTTTCACTCCAGAAGTATGTTCACGTGCCAGTACTGACCGAATTTGTTCCCATAAGAAATATTGTGAAGTAGATTAGTCCATTTCAGACCCCCAAACATACACGTACAAACGCACTTACATAAATACACTTACATAATTGGTCGCATTCGGAGGTAATCGTTATGCGGGGGTCCACTGTACAATGAAAACATGGATGCTAATTTTCATAAAAAAAAAACTGAGAATAAACTTAACTCTTGTTTAATATTGAAATAAAGTGAAGATTTGTTAAAAAAAATTACCTTATAATCAGGGTTCTTTGGTTTTGATTTGACAATAATTACATCTGGAGGTGCCTGTGTAGTGACAGAACACTTCCTCTCAGGAGAGACAGGTGGACAGTCTAATGCAAAATTCTGAACACCTTCTTGAGATGACAACACACCGGCTCCCTGTGGAAAACACAACTTACTGTAATTGTTGTATTAAAGTCATTCGCAACTCAGGTTGCTAATGGGTAACCAACGGGTACCTACAAGAATGAAAGTGACCCATGATGGATAGAAACACTGAGTTTTCATTTTAAATGTGTGTGTTAGTTGTGAACAGATAAGGCTAGTTTATTTTTTTGGAATTCTGTGATGCATGAATTCATGCTCTGTAGAATACTGTACATTATTTCAACCAAAGAGAAAATTAATATGCGGCTATGAGATGTGTTTAAGGAGACTAATAATGGAGTTATTATGAGTATCAACATATTTCTTGAACTTTTCAATTGCACTACAGGTCTTTATAATGGTGTCAAGTAAAGCATGGGTATTTCCACAGGATATATTGTATTCCTAGTGGATTGTGAACACTAAATCAGCAAATAATAGATTTTAAAAGATGTTCTTAAAACCACTGTAGCAACTAGTAGAACACATCTGCCACTCCCTTAGAGCAGTGTGTACATGATATACTGAGAGCAGTGTGTACATGATATACCGAGAGCAGTGTGTACATGATATACTGAGAGCAATGTGTACATGATATACCAAGAGCAGTGTGTACATGATATACTGAGAGCAGTGTGTACATGATATACCGAGAGCAATGTGTGCATGATATACCGAGAGCAGTGTGTACACGATATACTGAGAGCAGTGTGTACATGATATACTGAGAGCAGTGTGTACATGATATACTGGGAGCAGTGTGTACATGATATACTGAGAGCAGTGTGTACATGATATACTGAGAGCAGTGTGTACATGATATATGTACTGAGAGCAGTGTGTACATGATATACTGAGAGCAGTGTGTACATGATATACTGCGAGCAGTGTGTACATGATATACCAAGAGCAGAGTATGCATGATATACAGGGAGCAGTATGTGCATGATATACTGAGAGAAGTGTGTATATGATATACAGAGAGCAGTGTGTACATGATATACCAAGAGAAGTGTGTATTTGACATACTGAGAGCAGTGTGTGCATGATATACTGAGAGCAGTGTGTGCATGATATACCAAGAGAAGTGTTTGCATGATATATCGAGAGCAGTGTGTGCATGATATAGAGAGAGCAGTGTGTGCATGATATACTGAGAGCAGTGTGTGCATGATATACCAAGAGAAGTGTGTGCATGATATACAGAGAGCAGTGTGTGCATGATATACTGAGAGCAGTGTGTGCATGATATACCAAGAGAAGTGTTTGCATGATATACCAAGAGCAGTGTGTGCATGATATACAGAGAGCAGTGTGTGCATGATATACTGAGAGCAGTGTGTGCATGATATACAGAGAGCAGTGTGTGCATGATATACTGAGAGCAGTGTGTGCATGATATATTGAGAGCAGTGTGTGCATGATATACCAAGAGAAGTGTGTGCACGATATATTGAGAGCAGTGTGCACATGATATACAGGGAGCAGTGTGTGCATGATATACTGAGAGCAGTGTGTGCATGATATACAGAGAGCAGTGTGTGCATGATATACTGAGAGCAGTGTGCACATGATATGCTGAGAGCAGTGTGTGCATGATATACCGAGAGAAGTGTGTGCATTATATACTGAGAGCAGTGTGCACATGATATGCTGAGAGCAGTGTGTGCATGATATACTGAGAGAAGTGTGTGCATGATACACTGAGAGCAGTGTGTGCACGATACACTGAGAGCAGTGTGCATATGATATACTGATAGCGGTGTGCATATGACATACGGAGAGCAGTGTGCATATGATATACTGAGAGCAGTATGTGTATGATATACTGAGAGCAGTGTGCATATGATATACTGAGAGCAGTGTGCGTATGATATACTGAGAGCTGTGTGCGTATGATACAGTGGGAGCAGTGTGCGTATGGTACAGTGGAAGCAGTGCACGTATGATATACTGAGAGCATTGCACATATGATATACTGAGAGCAGTGTGCATATGATATACTGACAGCAGTGTGTGTATGATATACTGCATATGCTTCACTGTAAAGTTTATGAGACTGAATTAACTTTGTAACCAACCCTCTTACTACAACTATATATATTATTGATGAAAATAATTCATTACTACTGTAACTTGCCTAGCTAACAATGCTGGAATCTAATATCTCGACCTATTCTGTATCTCCGTATTTTAACTTGCATACACAGGATGGGTATGGGGGTAAAAAAATAAACTTATCTAACAGATATTACTACACTAAATGTTATATACTATACTATACTATACTTATTAAACAATAAAATTTAATAATCTGTTACCCAATTTTTTTATGTTGATCCTGCACAAACTATCATACCTGTATCTGATTATGTTTAATATGTCACCAATCAACCAGGGTTTACTTCTTCTTTTTATCCTTATCTCCTTTATTGGTGCAATATCAAGAACACTGATAAAGTTATTACCAAAGTTTTCAAGTGCAATAGTACAAAGTACCCAGGTGAAACCCTGGTCAAGGCTGACCATATGAGCAAAATTTCTAAAACCTAAGTATGAGTCAGTATAAATAACATGTAAGCAAACAAATCACATATGTAGGATATTTACTAAGAAGACATTTCATTCACAGGAGCTTTATCATTTAATTTCACTGAATTAATAGTTCCTGTGATCAAAATGCCTCTTCACCAATACAATATCACACATATACTATCTTATTTATGTAGTACAGTGGACCCCCACCTTACGATCAGCTCCCAACTCGAACAATTATGTAAGTGTATTTTTGTAAGTGCTTTTGTACATGTATTTTTGGGGGTTTGAAACAAACTAATCGAATTTACAATATTCCTTATGGGAACAAATTCGTTCGGTAACGGCACCCGAACAGACTTCTGGAATGAATTAATATCGTAAGTCGGGGGTCCACTGTATTCCTAAAATGTGCCGCACATTACTGAGAAGGAAACAGATATCAAGGAATTAGTCTACTGTTGCGGGTTATATCCTGGGAAAGGGCCTAAAAACACCCTACTGGTAATAGCTCCATTGCTTGGTATTAGCCCTCCAGGATTATTTTGGAGTGTTAGTAACCCAGGTAAACTTAAGAATGTCAGTATGGTTTATGTCTACTGGAGTCCATTGATCCTCTTCCCCAGGATGACACCCACAACAGTCAGCTAAAAACTAACTACTTACTACTAAATGAACAGGGGTAATATGTGTAAGGGAAGAAGACCAACGTTTCTACTCATTTTGCTTCCTTCAGCTGTGAACTGAAGGTGCTACCTCCTGAGCCATGAGTCATTCCAATATTATGAAAATAAATGAACTAGCATTTCTTTACTGCATTTCTTTCTTTATATTATCTTCACTGATATTTTTCTTTTTAGTGCAGCAATAAGATGTTTCTTTACACCTATTGCCTGTTCACCTAACAGTAAGTAGGTACAATATCTGGTTGTCAACTAATGGTTGTGAATGGCATCCTGGGGAAGAGGCTCAAAGGACCCACAATGGAAATGGGTCTGAATTTCTTTTTTGGTTTATTCTGGGTTTTTCACCATCCAGGTTAATAACATGAATAAAATCTTAAAATGCTACTTGTTAATCTATGATGATTATACAGTACATATACTGTATATACACTTTGTAATTACTGAAGTTGAAAACTGTATAGTACAACTGTATTTTATTTTATTGATTTATTTATTTGAACATGATACACTGAAGTACAAAAAATACAGTGGTTAAGTGCAACATGCCAAAGCCCCTTGTATGCAGAGCATTATGGGCAGGCTAAAAATTAACTTAAGATTAACTAAGCAAGGACACTTCCCTGTGGGACACCAACTGTAATTGGTTGTGCAGAAGAGTTTGCTCCATTTGTGTACACATATTGGCTTCTGTTGCTGAGGTATGACTTCAAGTAGTTGAGGGAGGGCCCTCTTATACCATAGTGCAACAATTTTATGTGGAGCAAGTCATGGTCAACTGTATAAAAAGCTCTACGTAAATCAATGAAGATCCAAGTAAAGAAATAACCTACAGTATAGTCAATGTCTGGTGGTCACTGACTTTCCAAATTAACAACTTGAGCGAGTTATCCAAGAGACAGGTTTTCTGACTTAAAATATAACCATGACTTATCCAACACCAAAACTGAAAACTACTAGGTGGAACTCAGTCATTAGTTTAAAAATTTTCATACAGTAGATACAATCTATGTAGCTACATCATGAAATAATAATTTCTTGAACAAATTTTTGTTTTGGGAGATATAAGAAAAATTAATATATGTATTTGAGTGGAGCAGCACACTAAAGACCCCACAAGAACCCCAATGGCAATAAGTCACTCTATCTGACTTTTTTGGGTTATCCTAGGAAATCTACACACATGCTGCTACCTGGAGTTTACCTGGAGGGAGTTCCAGGGGTCAAAGCCCCCGCGGCCCGGTCTGTGACCAGGCCTCATGGTGGATCAGGGCCTGATCAACCAGGCTGTTACTGTTGGCTGCACGCAATCCAACATACGAACCACAGCCTGGCTGGTCAAGTACCGACTTTAGATGCTTGTCCAGCGCCTGCTTGAAGACAGCCAGGGATCTATTGGTAATCCCCTGACACTTGAACAGTCTTGGGCCCCTGACACTTATTGTGTTCTCTTAACATGCTAGTCACACCCCTGCTTTTCATTGGGGGGATGTTGCATTATCTGCCGAGTCTTTTGCTTTCATAGGGAGTGATTTTCGTGTGCAAGTTTGGTACTAGTCCCTCTAGGATTTTCCAGGTGTATATAATCATGTATCTCTCCCGCCTGCATTCCAGGGAGTACAGGTTCAGGAGCTTTAAGTGCTCCCAGTAATTGAGGTGTTTTATCTCAGTTATGCGTGCCGTGAAGGTTCTCTACATTTTCTAGGTCAACAATTTCACCTGCCTTGAAAGGTGCTGTTGGTGTGCAGCAATATTCCAGCCTAGATAGAACAAGCGACCTGAACAGTGTCATCA